GGGGGGGGGGGTGGATAAACCAGGAACTGGGGGTAAACCAGGAACTGGGGGGTGGATAAACCAGGAACTAGGGGGTAAACCAGGAACCAGGGGTAATCCAGGAACTGGGGGGTAAACCAGGAACTGGGGGCTGGATAAACCAGGAACTGTGGGGTAGATAAACCAGGAGCTGGGGGATAAACCAGGAGCTGGGGGCAAACCAGGAATTGGGGGCAAACCAGGATCTAGGGGGTAAACCAGGAACTGGGGGTAAACCAGGAGCTGGGGCTAAACCAGGAACTAGGGGGTAAACCAGGAACTGGGGGCAAACCAGGAACTGGGGGTAAACCGGGAAGTGGGGATAAACCAGGAACTGAGGGGTGGATAAACCAGGAACTGGGGGATAAACCAGGAACTGGGGGCAAACCAGGAACTGAGGGATAAACCAGGAACTGAGGGAAAACCAGGAACTGGGGGTAAACCAGGAACTAGGGGGTAAACCAGGAACTGGGGGCAAACCAGGAACTGAGGGATAAACCAGGAACTGAGGGAAAACCAGGAACTGGGGGTAAACCAGGAACTGGAGGCAAACCAAAAACCGGGGGTAATCCAGAAACTGGAGATAAATCTGAAACTGGAGATAAATCAGGAACTGGAGGTAAATCAAGAATGGGGGGTAATCCAGAAACCAGGGTAAACCAGGAACCTGAGTAAACAAGAAATGCATGCAAACCAGGAATGGGGACAAACTAGGAACTGAGGACAACCCAAAAACCGGGGTAAATCAGGAACTGGGGGTAAATCAGGAAGCAGTGTGAATCAGGAACTGGGAGTAAACCAGATTTTGTGAGTAATCCAGGAACTGGAACAAACAATGAACTGGGGCTAAACCACCCCAGGTAATCCACACGGGGCAATTATAAATCAGAAAATTAATGTATCATACAGGGCAATCCAGGAAAGGGAGACATCAAAGAAAACAAATAACATCACCCAGAGAAAGTGGGACTGCAATTCAGAGAAGAACAGCCATTGGGGATTAGGAGCACTGCCTCAGTGATTAAGTCACAGGGTCAATCTGGAAGGAAAGCATTACTGAGCAGATGGGGCAGACTAAAAAGAAGTAGCAAACCAGAGAAGGGAACTATAAAGAAAAGCAACATAAAACAAAAGAGGGTTCATTCAGATACCAGAAAGGAAAAATCCAGAGGCTAGGAACATTGCAGCAAAATGGTGCGACTCAGGACAAGCAAATAAGAAGGACATGGGAGAGAATGGTAAAGCATGAATTAAAGGCAATCCAGGAGGTGAAATAATATGAAAAACAGTGTAAATTAGAAAGTGGGGCAATAACTATAGTAACAGTGTTAGAAGCAATTTTGAGGGGTATACAGGAAATGGAGATGTATTCTGTAGAAAAGGAGCTAATTCAGAGAGATCGAGAAGAAGGCGCAATATAGAAAAACAAATTTAAGTAATAGGAAAAAAGGTAAACAAGATTTTGGCAGGGCAACAAAGTAGCGCAATTGGCAGATAACCAAAACAATCATTATTCCAGCAATTGGGAGAGAAGAGTGTTCAATAAGGAGAAAAGGGAAAATACATAGAGAAGAACAGGCGAGGAGGCAGTCGGTGATGCTGCACAATAGGGTAACAGCCAAATTAGGAGGTAATCCCAGAGATAAGTGGCAATTCATAATCAATGATTATGCAGGATAATCAATACAGAAAAAAAAGACAATCCAGAGAAAACCTAATATATATTTTTGAAGAAAGCTCATGAAAGACTAAAACAGAGAAGGCAGTGTAGCCAAGCTGAAAGGTAAAGTACCCATCGGCCTACTGTCCCATCAGAGAGAGACAACTGGTGTTACTTTACCTGGAGGGCCACCACATCTCAGGTGAGGGGAGAAGGTTGAGAAGGAGAATCCCTCAAGGTAACCTGGTGTAGGAATTGAACGTATCCTGGTGGTGTCACCCTACATCATAGGCCAGCTGTCCAGCCAGCAGCACTAAACCAAACAGCATTAAAGGGTATTTATAAACAGGTTATGAGAAAGGAATGATCCAAAGCAAGAAGCTAGGGTAATGTTTTGTAAGGAACAAGGGTGTGAGTAATTCAAACAGTGAAACAATAGAGCATAATCAGAGAGAAGGTTAAGTGACCAACAGCGCAGAGAAACAAGCAGCAGAGGAAAAATATAGAAAATCGGAATTTCAAATTTTCAAATTTTGAATCCGCACTACATATTTCAAGGACAGCATCACGATCTCTCAGTTCAGCAGATTCTAATTCCCTTACGATCAGCTTATGTTTTCCATCCTACATGTGACCAGCACTTTCAGAGTAGCCTGTAGCAGTCCCACCCAAAATATCGGCAGAATCTGCATGAATTTCTGATGCTTTCTGTTTCCCTTGCAAATTGCCAGCACTGTCTGTCTTTTAACCTCAACAGTATCATACTCTGCGAAAGAGTGTCTGTATTTTTATGAATATAGTTGATACATTTCCCAGCAATATCCATTTGTAAAGGTGATTGCCTAATTATATTGGCAAACTCCCAGTATTTTTACCTGTGTTTGTATTTTTGTATATAAGAAGCGGGTTTGGTAGTCAGTTGAGAGATGTATTTATAGGACAATGTTAGTTTAATTAAACTTGAACAAGTACTGTACAAACATTTTTGACTTGGAGAAATATCAGGTATCAGTCAAGTGTGTGTAATGGAGGGAGATTCTGAGTCATTTGGTAAGCATCTATATTGGTTAAAAAAGTGAGGTGACCTATTATTTTTGGCATGAAAGACTGTAATATTGCGGAATATAGCAAATACTCTGAAATACGGTAAAAGTCAGATTATCCAAGTGTTAATATTTATTTGAAACACTGTGGTAAAGATGTCAGTTTAAAATATGTGGAAAGCATATGTTACCATCTCACAGAATTTTATACTTTTGTAATGTGATATTTGTTGACTTAAATATAGGTGAAGTAGGGGTGGGGTCTCGTGTTCAAACACATTCAATTCAAGGGACCTAGCATCAGCAATGGCGACTAACTAAAAGGAATCTCTTGTTTCTGATACCCCTATGATGCCTCTCCCAAGACTCCCATTGTACAAAACCCGTTAGCCATCACTTACCTGTCAACTGGGTTGTTCTGCGATCCTGGGCCTTCAGTGGGTGCATTTCCAGCAGCAATCATCGTCACTGGTGGCACTGCTGAGCCAATGAGATGCCAGCCTCTGATTGGCCAGCAGCTCTCAGCATATGGGACTTCCTAACCCCAGCATCCAGCAGCAACATCTCAACCTCCTTTCCAGAAGAGGCAGCTTGGCTCTCTTGTTGGCTCCAACCGGAATCACTTCCATAATACTCTGTCCATTGTGAAATATAAAGTAAAAGATTCACACCTTGAAATTAGAGCTCTGTAAGTAAAACCCATAGGACCATGAGATCACTGTATTTAGTACATTTCTTAGCAAATATTTCAGTTATCTAGTTGTGATCAAATATTCACCGAAACATGGTGCAAAAGAAGGTCTTTCAATCTATCATGTCTGCACTGGCTCGTTACATGAGCGTCATTACCTAGTGCCTATTTCCTGCTTTTTCTCCATACTCCTGCAAATAATATTTTCCCCAAATAATTGTCCAAAACCCTCTTGAATGCCTCAATCGAACCTTTCGCCACCACACTTCCAGGCAGTGCATTCAACACTCTAACAACTCGCTGTGAGAGTTTTTGTTTTTGCATATCACCCTTGTTTCTTTTGCACATCACTTTAAATCAATATCATCTCATTCTGAGATAACAAGGTGTAGAGCTGGATGAACGCAGCAGGCCAAGAAGCATCAGAGGAGCAGGAAAGCTGATGTTTCAGGTCTGGATCCTTCTTCAGAAATGGGTCTAGACCGGAAACATCAGCTTTCCTGCTCTTCTGATGCTACATGGCCTGCTGTGTTCATCCAGCTCTACAGCTTATTATCTCAGATTCTCCAGCATCGGCAGTCCCTACTATCTCTCCTCTCATTCTTGTTGCTTTTGTAAATGGGGACAGTTTGTTCCAATCAAATTATTCTAACCCACTCATGATTTTGAAAACCAGCTTTGGATCAACTCTTAACCTTCTTCTCTCCAACGAGAGCAGTCTCAACTCCTTAAATTTTTTCTTACAACTGAAGCTCCTCCCCCAGAACCACTTTTGTAAATCGCTTCTGCGTTCTCCTCAATGTGTTCATATCATTTGTATAATGTGGTGCCTAGAGCTGTACACAATACTCCAGCTGAGTCTCACAAGTGTCTTATACAAGTTCAACATCAACTCCTTGCTCTTGTACTCTATGCCCGCATTACTAAAGCTGAGGACATTGTATGCTTTACTTATTGACCTCACTAACTGTCCTGCCACCTTCAATTATCTGTGTACGTATACACACAAGTCCCTCTGCTCTGCATCCCTTTAGATTTGTCCCCCTATGTTAATATTGTCTTCCAATGTTCCTCCTATCAAAGCACATCACTCCCCACATCTCTGCATTGAAACTTATCTGCTCATTCCACCAACTTGTCAATGATCATTCTGCAGTTTCAC